AATTTCTTCCTCATGCACTTTCATACGAAATGGAGGCCTCCCAAAAAAAAAAAATATATATATATATATGAAGAGACCTTAATTTTTATACAGACTTGCTCTCCAAAAGGTATTCTTATCCAGAGTAGACTGCAGTTTTGATCTGACCCAAATCGCATTATTACTCCCAGCGTGGTTTATTTCCAGATAGTGGTGGATGTGTCGAACCTATATTCCGCACTATTTGGTTTCACGTCTCACTGGGAATACTGATGAGACTACATTCAACTTACATTCGACCATAATGACTTTTGGGAGGAAATACTCAGTGACTGTGGCTAAACAAAAAACCATGTCATATTTGTATTTCTATTTAGAAATAAGTGAAATTCAAGAGAAATATGAAGTCTGCTCACATTCAATTATCAGCCCTTCATCCCTTTATGCGACCGTAGAAATAATTTGCTTAGATAAACTGTTTCTTCGACACTTTTGTAGCTCAACCAAACCAGCATAACGATCGAAGACTTCGACATGCTTCATTTCCAAGTCTGTGGGCGGTATAAATCGAGGAAACATTAGTTTTTGCTGCGCCGTTGTTACTTTACCGTCTCGTCAAGTGGAATACACATAATTTCTGTCAGACTTGAAACTAATTGAGAAACAGTTTTGCCTTGGCAAGGCCCGTTGCCCCTTTGTCCATTGTGATACTATCTCTAAATATCCTATGGCAGGTGGAAATAATAAGATGGAGTGTACTTTTATTGCTCATCTGATTAAAAAAACTTTAATTTGCAATTGAATTTTTTTATTCACTAGTTTTCTCGATCCAGACTACCGTTTGACGACGATCATCAACCTGAGGCAGTAGAATGTGGCCAGGATGTGATGGCACTTTTCTCAGAGAGTGAAAGGGCTGTAAATATAGCCACTCGTTCTACATCACTCTCAACGCAACCTTGGCCTCAAGCCTTTGAAAATCTACACGATGCTTCGATACCTTCGACGCCAGAGTATTTAAAGGAAATGACTAGTAATCAGTTATTCTTAGTTCCGGGTGAGTTGTTGAACGTTTATTTAAAAAATTGTTCACTCTTGGTCGCCAATTTTGATTCAAGAACTGGTTTCAGACTTTTCTCACAATTGTTTAAGTTGGTCTCAATATTCAATAGCAACTATAAAGAATTATACTAATATTGCAAATTTCCTTATTTGTCTCAAACCTATGATCCAGCCCTTCATAGCTAAAGTAGCGTTGAATTAGTTCTTACGTATTTCCATATATTTTCATATTTGAAGTCCATAAAAGACAAGTTCTCTCGTAGATACGAAGAGTAAATGGGTTCCGATTAATTTCATGAGATAACGTTGTTGGGGAAGCTTTCATTTTTCATGAAAGTGCATGAAGAGGATATTCGAAGGTTGATCTCTTTAGAAGACGACGGCTTATATTCATTGTACTGCAGACATTTGGCTTTAATACGATGTTGAGGTTGACACAGTCCACGAGACATCCTCCCCCGTTTCAGATGAAAACGAGCTGAATTGGATAGCTTTCTTGACCTGATGTTAACGTGAAACTTTTACAAGAATGAGTTCCAGCTCTCATCATGCCCATCATATGATGGACGGAAGTTCAGCCCGTTTTCGAACGAAACAAGAGAGGATGTCTAGTGGACTGCGTCAACCTGAACGTCTTATTAAAGCCAAACAGCTGCAATACAATGGATATCAGCTATCGCTTTCTGGTTGGACCGACCTTCGAATCTCTTTTTTATGCACTTTCATACTAAATGAAGGTCTCCCCAACAATTTACCTCAGTTTATCGTCCCTTCCATCAATGTCACCTTTTTTGTTGGCTCTCAAATGTCTGTAGTTTAAGAATGACTGAACTCCTCTTCCTTTCAACTTCCTTTTTAGGCGTTTCTGAAGACTGTTTCCTTGAGCTGCAAGCCTTTAGCAACCTTCCCATCATTTCTTTTCCACGCGCTCTCTATAGCAGACGCCGGGTACGTCTCCTCCGGTTGGTTACACCCGAAGAGGCCGAACTGTATTCACCCGGTTTCCGGACGCCCCGAATCAAACCCATAGCAGATATGGTGGCTACATCAACAGTGACGGAAACTTCATCCGTTGGTGATGGAAGCATTCATCCTCAACATGTGGATAAAGAAAAATCAAGTTTATCTAATATCCTTGAGGAGGCCTGGGGCAAGTCGGTATTTGTGTATAACGCCCTGCATATATTTATATCTACTTTTTAAATATATATATATATATATATATCAAGTTAAAAAGTCCGTCCGCTTTGTTAAACTATGATGCAATCACACAAATACGAAGTATTTCATAGTTCCGAAGTCTTTCAAGAATGTAGGCCTAAATTTAGTTCATCGGTGGGTTTTGCCGATTTAGTTGAGCTTCATAACTCAATGTTGAGTCGAATTTATAGGTCATAATTAATTCATTGTGCTAAGGCTTATATCCTAGGGCCCGTATTGAGAAGATTACGTAATGGTCTGGGCCATTAGAGCTTTGAAACATTCAAATCTAGAGAAGATCCATATTTTTTTAAATACCACACACAGATCAAGGCAATCAAGCATAAATTCCCAAAAAATTGAAATAAAGCAATATATGTGAATCTCCAAGTCTTAGTCGAAAGCCCTAAAAGGTAGTCCGTAGATACATCCTTGATGTCGTCCGCAAATCCCGTGGTTCCTTAAAGATCGTGATATAAGGTACAAATGATAAGCTAGTAATATTTGAAGTATGGTTATTAATATAGGCCAGGATGTGGGTGGTGAAAGGCTTTTTTAATGAAACAATACCGCCATCGCTATACCTTCATGCCATAACCCGCATTTTGTCATATCCTTGACATCACTGTTACCAGAATAACATTTAAATGCTTTAAATTTGCACCCGCCCTATATTAATT